AACTACGGTAGTGCTCGAGGTGAGGTATGGATTCTGTGGATTATGTGGAACGTTGGAGTGTTGTATGGAATATCCTTAGGATGATACACTGGTATTTTTGTGATAAGATTTGATGGGTTCTGAGTCAACCTACGTCGTACTAGATGTGAGTGGTTTTGAACCGGTCGAAAACCGATGTCAAATGATTTAAAAAAATGTCAGGCAACTGTACTGCCTTCGCGCTATACTTTGGGACTTGAATTGATCTGAACTGAGCCAAGAGTATCCCCTGATACCTTGGCGGTATGAGGAAGTGTCCTGGTTCATTTATAGATTGCTGTACTTGGTTGTTCATTCCTGGCGGGACAACGGGCGGTGCTGTGAGGGGAACAGGGACGGACGGCTGGTCGTGTAAAGGCTTTGGGTATATATATATACCTTTGCACTGTGAGGAACGCCTTGCGAGGCGACCTCGTGGTGATCCAAGGACTGCCCAAGCTGTGCGCAGATTCGGGTACAGTGTGTGCCTTTTCCCAAGTGTACCAAGACCGCGTAGAACGTTCGCGATGCGAGAGATTTTGCAACCCTATTGTCTAGCAGCTGCGACTGGGTGCGCCGTGTTCGAGCCGCGTGTTCAACGTCGTCGACGGACTCACGAGGGTCAGGACTGGCCCTAGGGATGTACCTTGAGTTCCTAGAATGTCTTTGAGTCTTCTAGCTGTGGTTTGGAGTCGTTGTCGTGCCAGGAAACGAGGCGGAGCACTGTCAGCTGTCTTGCGATGTCTTTGCCACGTGCGGTTTGACTGCGAGGAGGTCTGGAAGAAGCTTCCTGCTCAAAGACCAGTGCGCAACGGCGGTCAAGCTTTGTGGAGTCTCCTGAGGTGCTGGCGACAAGCTGGAAGAATTCTCAGGAGCTTCAGAGGGCGGCGAAGGGAGTCGTGGCATCGGCCGGCGCTGGACGTCAACTGCGACGTGAAGTATCGGGCGGCTGGCGACGAGGGGGCGTTCTGACCGGCATCAAGAGACGACCGGTGACGAAACGCCACCTTTAGGCAGGTACCTGTGACCCTACCTGAAGCGCCTGTGAAAGGGAGGCCTGAGGGTTTTGCTGCAGGGTAGAAATGGTCAACTAAGTAGTAAACATTACTGCGCCTCGTGCCATGCTGTTCAGCAATAGTGTTGGGGGCATAATCGAGACCTTGGCGGGGATTTCTCAAGCAGCCCGCGGAGGTGGCGCTGCCTGCAGGCGGCGAGCTGCTGAAAGTCCGTGCTCAGAGCCCCCTGCGCCATGGCGAGCCTTTGAACACCATTCCTGGAATGTGCGGCACAAGGATCTGTATTTCGTAGTACTTAGTTGACAACGTCTTCCTTGAAACGATGTTGTCGAACGTGTATGAGACTGGTTTTAACATTCGCGGGTCTGCAGGTTCGTTTGGGACGTCCTTCTGTTGAGCCATTTGTCCTGACGCTAGAGCTGGGCTTTCGTGGTCCGCACAGAACTGTGGACAACAGTACATTAGTACTACACTACACTGTGTGGACACACACTAGTGTCCTCGCATTTCCAAAGAATGAAGCAAATTCGAAGTTCTGAAGGGCCCTGCGGTCCGTCCAACAGGTTCCCCGCAAAACCCCTCTAGAGCAGTTCTGCGTCTGCGCGCCTGTGAGCCACGGTTGCAATGCCGTGGTCGATGCTGATCCGTCCGGCGGGATTTCAGGCAGAATCGAGTGATGGGCACGTGGGGCGGCCGTTCGCTTTCCTTTGCTCTTGCGACGCAGGCTCCACAAGAGAACGCGTCAGCGCATAGCCAGCTTGGCGCCTCCCCCTGTCTCATCGGAATCAGACCGTCCGTCTTTGTGGCGTTACCGGTAGCAGCACTGAGGTCCAAACATTGCCAAAATGTTCCTGCATTTTCCGTATATTAGAATGACTCATTGGCTAAGCGCAAGTCTCTTTGAGAGATGCGCAGGGGTGCAGCACACGGGTTGATTGGCTTCCAATTGAATGGGTGCGTTGCATCAACATTCGCTATTAGTTAAAGCATTCGTTCAGCAAATCAGAAGGATGACGGTCCCCCCCTTCCCCCCCTGCTGTACCAGGGGTTCTTCTCAATCTCTGGTGTCTTGTTCTCTCCCTCTCCACTCGCTGCTGCGTGTCTCTTATCTGCTGCTCCCGCAAGATAGCCCTCTCCAAGGGACTGCCACGGAGAGTACTGCGCAGGCAGGGAGTGACTCGCTTGTAGCCGCAGGCATTTCCCAACGTGGACAACCTGTTAGGCGAGTGCAACAATGACATCCCATCGTGCACCACGACTCCTCGTGATCAAGCCCGCTCGGAGTTCGCCCCACCGCTGCGCCCCTGCCGGCGATCCACCGCCGGGTGACGTGAGGCCCGTGAAATCTGTCGGTGGTCAAACCCTCGGCGGGGTTGGATCTCCCGCTCAAGCAAGGTGAGCAGGGCCTAGACTCTGAAAACCCCGATCTCTTGCAACAACCCGCACTTGCACCTCTGTTGCGCTCATGCTAAAGAATAAAGCAAAATTACAAATTGAGCCGCTTATATGTGCCGCAATTACTTTCTGTGAATTTTGCTCAGTATCTAAATGCGCGGTGCTCCACTCTGACTCAGTTGCATTCATTCGGTGCCGGCATACATCATGTGGCATGACCTTCATCAGCGTCTTGATTCATTCCTTTTTTGGATGCTTGCGGCGTTCGCCACCCGATGTTGCAATACATGTTTCGCACGCCCGCGTGTCTGGATGGCCGCTTGCGCTGTAGTTACCGCAGCCCTAGAAGCGATCCAGACACAAAGGCGTGAGAAAGTGAGGTGTCCCGGTCCGCGCCCTTAGATAATCGCGCAGCGGCGGAATCTCCTACCAAGTCATTGTAGACTTCATGCAGCACAAGTTGGAAAGCCAAAGGGGCAGGCCTCCTTGAATGGCCCCAGTGAACACGGAGGCAAATACAAGTACAAGGAATGTTGCGAATGCAAGGGAAGTCAGGTTGAGGGACATCGTCCGCCAGTGCGGCAATGAGCAACTAGTCAGACGCCGCCCGCATGGACCCAGAGCTGGGGTGTCGAGCACTCTCACAATGGCCAATGGCTGTCGACCATACCATCGCTACCATTGCCCAGCCATTCGTGCCCCATTATCAGAATGCAAAATTTTCAATCTGCTTTGGCCGATTCAAGAACGTGGGCATGCCGAATTGCATCCGATATCAACTAGTCATCGGTGCAAGGAGCTGCCACAACATCGGTTGCCTTCGCACAAGCAGCCATGAATCGGCCTGTTTCTGAATCGTCACGCAAGTTGACCAACAAAGCTCCATGATTCAACCGCCGGCCAGGCGAATCATGTGGAGGAGACTGCGATGCAATGAAGCGGTGTGCGCGTTCCTCTTCGGAGTTGAGCGCGCCCAGAAGCTGCCTTGATGATCCGAGGGGACTGTCTATAATGCCGCCGTCCACGCGTCATTGGCGAAACTGCTCTGTGATGGTCATGGCCAGCCAATTCAGCAATGGAACTTGTCGAGCACTGCAAAGGGGAGTGCGTGTCATTGTAATTATTGCGAGGACGGGAGAATACATAAGTAATTATATGGAGAATGGTGTTTTGATAGTGAATTGAATATGGTGTTAAATATGGCAAAATGGGGAATGATTGGGTGGAATATAGATGGGGCCTGCTTGCAGTGAACACTACATGACCGACACAATCATTCTGTAATCCATCTGGTTGCGGCTTGCTCCCCGTGCCTGGGAGGGCGACTGCTAGCGAGCGTACGCACCGGACACGAACAACTTCAAAATTATAATAACAATTATAGTTATAATTATAATTATAATTATGCGTGTCAATTGCTGTAAACAATGTGAATAGCCTGCAGCGTGCTGCGTTCTATTACCGCTTGAGGCTTGCCGGCTACACAAGTGCATTGCTGGAGGGCGCGTGAATGCGACGCACTCGCTGAGGCTGACATGTGGCCACCAACAAGGTGAATATCCGTTGCGCTATTGATTTTAGGTCAGTGGCCATTCCATTCTTTCGGATAGATCGTGCTCGAACAGGGACTCGGAACAACATGCGAGTCCAATATTCCTGCCTCTGCGTGTGGCACGTGCGCAAGCGCAGTCGTGCTGTCTGGAATGCGTGATTGGCGCCCCTTGATGGGGTGTGAATCCGCGCTGTCTTGAGCCATCGATTGGTCTACTATTGCCCTCGTCCCTGAACATGGCGCAATCTTTAGGACCATAAAAGGCAAGTTGCTTAAAATGACCCCCCTTGCACAAACTCTACATGCTCACAGGTCCCTGACCGGCCACAGGGACGGCTGTGTTCCAGGACCCCGTTGCAAAAAGGAAACACATCCTACAACAAAAATGCTTGCAGAAACTAGAAAAATAAACTCCACACAAGCCCCAGATGACATCGCAATTATTAATTCGCGTTCCGTACCCACCCACACTCGCACACTCACACCCTGCTCATTCAACAAAGTCCCACCCAATCTCCCTCAACGTGCACGATGCGTCACTATGGCAACTCAAGCCATCCACAGAGCCAACACAACACCCTGTGCCTCGTCTGAACCCATGCCCGTACGGCAACTAGAGCACAGGGACATTTTCGTTCACGCCACGATCTGTGGCTGAAAATCCCTGGCCAGCAGATGCGCGACCTATCACTGTGGCGAAGCGCCCGCCCCTCCCCACAGACCAACGTTCGCCGTCAGAAACGAACGCCAGGTCGTCTGACGGTCGGGCAGCCGCCAAACAACTTCCCCTGCAATATTTGGGCAAGAAATGGCCCAACTGGAAACGGTACAACAAAGATTGAAACGAGTGAAATGACCCTGGTGCCCATTGCGCACTCCAGCTGGCTGAATATCAGACAACGACTTCCTGTGCTCATTTTGGCAAATGAGCAGCCACCTAAGAGATCTCCGCCATTTGTGCCGCCATTCGTGCCGCCATTGCAACAACGGCATCTACCGTCGCCCAGTTCTGCGTCTGCTTAAACTACGGTGACGACGGTTGCCGCCGTTGCTGTTCCGGGTGCGGGTGACGGCTGGGGGGCGGGCGCCGGCGCAGCCACGTCTCGGTACCAGATCTCGTTGTGCCGGTCGGTCGTCTGGAATGGCGAGTCGTACTCCGCGACGTAATACCTGGTCCGAATTGATCAATCGACGAATCAGCGAATTGCAACCAACCCGCCAATCAATGGATCAAACAATCACTCCACCAGGAAATCTATCAGTGACTCAATATATCAAGCAACAAAATAGCAAAGCGACAAGTCGCAATCAAGGCATCGATCAAGAAACCAGGAGATTGCACGTGCAGAGGGGGAGGCAATCGCAGGCTGCCTGAATCTCGCCAAGAATATGCTGCCGATGAAAGGGAACGCGAGAAGCAACAAATGCTAGGCCAGGCTGTCACTTCTTGTCCATTCGAAATAGAAAATCACCACGAAATACACAGGAATGAAGAAAGCCCCTACTTGTTGTCTGAATGCGACACGGAAACTCTTTGACGGTAGTTCTGTGCGCATGGCAAGCCTCGTGTACAACGGAACAAACGCTCAACTAGGAAAACACACCAGACACAAGCAACAGCACGAATCTCTCCCCCCTCCCCCCCGGGGGCGGGGAGGCTCTTCCTGACAGTTTCTGCTGCCTGTGGTGTGCGTTGCAGTCGGACGCCCACTGTTTGCCATAGCAGGCATTGTTTTATGTCGTTGGTCACATGGACACACGTTTTATACTACTCATGCAAATGGATCAATTGATAGCACGGCATAAGCACACCTATTGCACCCCTTCATGCGCATGTCGGACGCTCATTACAAAACGCCCTTCTGGGGCGGCCTGGGTGCAAGGCCTGAGCACCACAGCTACAGGGCAAGTGGACGTCCATTCCTAATTTGTAGGTGCTAGTACCTGAAGGCAGCAAAGACACATGGAGAAGCTTCGTACCCACTTTACCGGCAGCAGGAAAGTTGCTTGGAGCACCTTTTCACAAAAGGCGGCACAGGCAAGTGGTGCGGGATACTGAATTTTGCACCACATCTTTCCAAACCGCGTTTTGCCACAACACCGGCAAGTGAGACACATGTAAAAATTATCAACAAGTATAAAAATTTTACCTGCACTCGTCCACAGTGGCGCCCGTGGCCTTGAGTTTCGACAACAGCGTTTGGGCCTCAAGCGCCACCAGCTCCGGCTCCGCATAACCGCCAAAGGTCGACACGTAAAAGTTGGCGGCCGGGAGGTCGTCCACGAACACATCGGGGCTCGAGGGCACAGGCGGCGACTCCTGTACGAATGTACCAATGCACCAATGCACCGAGCCCATATGCGCCAACGTACCAATGTATCAATGTACCAATGTACCAATGTACTCAATGTACAAAATGCAACATCACTGATATCACCAACGGCCATTGACGATTAGGAAGCAAACGACAACGGGCAAAGGGCGCTTGGCGGCCTGCGACTGAGACGTGCGCCGCCAACGTTTTGTCGTCCTCGTTTGAACGCCAGAGCACTGGCCAGAAAGACTGTTCAATAGAGGCAGCTACGCTCGCTGCGTCCAGCTTCCGCCACTGCCAAAAGGACTGCAGCGCTCACAAATGGCCTAAGTGGCACGGCGCTGAGATACTCTGCAATATTGTGCCCGACATACACACGGTTGGGAATATTATAATGTGCATTGTATGCGTAAATGCAAACATGTAAATACCAATTATGTTCATGGTGCCATGTTTCTTGAATGAATGCAATAAACAACACAAGGGCACAACGACAACGAGCGCTACAGCCCAGCCTCATGAGCAGGAGCTGCCGCTCTTACTAAAGGACGGCGGGCGCAAAGGCTTTCCTGCTCATTTTCTGGAGCTCGTTTTGTCCTCCCTAGACGCCGGTACTTTCTCATGGCGTCCGGCAGGACCACGGAACTATTTTTCGCCACTGTGGGCAAAGTCCAATATTCGCCTGACGCGTTCAAACGCGGTGCAGTGTCATCCTCTCTTGACAAGAGCAACAGCCGGGCTTTAAATTCAGTGCATTGAATAACGCGTTGCCATAAAATCAACATAAATGTGAGCATGTGCATTGTTGATTACTTCGGGAAAAGCTGTTATGTTCAGGTTTTAGGTATTAGATACAAAGTACTGAATATCGTCCCTGAAGAAGATCATCATGGCGTTGGAAAACGATACCAAAAACAGGTTCAAAAGTACATGATTTCTTCCATTTTCGCGCACCCCAAGCTCCAAAATATCGGAAATATTGCCCCATCCGATATTTAAGCAACTCGAAGCGATTCAAATACGAAATCGACCTCGACTTAGAACCGATATTCGACCATTTTAACCCATTCGTACAGCATTTGCAACTGCGTTCGTGTTTCCATTGTATTCGAGTTTTAACACTTTACGTACAATGGCCAGCGCTGAGCGGACTTGCCCACCTGGTACTCGAACGGAATGAAGTAAAAAAACTCATATGATGTTGCATTAGTCTTCATCTCGGTGACGATGGGCGCGGTTGCGGGAATGTAATGGTCTCCGTCGTTGTAGCCGAAGAAGTATCTGTCAAGTCGCTGCATGAACGATAGTTACAGTTGTCAAGTATCAACTTTGCGGCATCATGACACCTCACTCACCCGCCTGAATGCATTCAACAAACTGCTGAGCAGACGCGCGACTGCCCGAATTACCCAAGTTTCAAACTGTTTGCGCACCGTATGACTGCCATGGATCATGCCGTCTAAAGTTGCAAGGGTGAGTTGAGCATATTGTGGCTCAGGCAGCATGGCCGTGGCCGTCAGAATCCAACGGAGCACCTCCCTCGCACCTGTGATTACTTTGTCCCTGCTGTGATCTGAACCTTAACAAGCTTGATAAACTGTGCCATAGTTTCGAAAGTTGTGTGCTATTGATGTGCCCATCCAGGCGGCGCAGCACCAAAACGATTGAAGAGCAACCAAAGCTGGCCCAGGCTATTCAACAGCATGGTTAGGATTGTACCATTTGGTCCATTCTCAACTGCATCTGCATTGTTGGCACACTGTTCTCAGCAACTCAGCACAATAAAACAATCTAATGCAATAAAACGCAGGACGATTTTGCAAGATATGGCCAACATTTTCGGCCAAAGAAGTGACAAGGTGCCAGTAAGAAAGTATTGTACCGGGGGCAATATTACCAACAATCCAACAATACCAATAGTAATGTTGAATGACATTCATCATGTTCCTTGGGTATTTTCCGCCTGTGAAAGGCAGTGACAGGCAAACATGAGAGGTGCACCATGGGACTGCACAGGTGGATGCATTTCCACAGGCATGGTGACAAGCTGGTTTGACTACATCTGCATACTGTCACCTTGCATCTATCAGGCAACATTGGGTATCACCACAGCAGGGTGGGGTTGCGATATCCATCACCCCTCCCCTGAATTACAATTGAATGACAATCGAAGGAGCTGAATAAGTCAGTGGTGTCATAACTTCTTCCACTATTCTGGCTGGTGCCTGTGGGTGTGCAGCACATCACTCAACAGTTTGTGCAGCAAGGAAATGCTGTACCAGCCACCATGGACAACAAAAACAATTGATTAAAGCAACTATTTATTTAATTAATTAACAAATAATTTAATTAAAGCAAGTGCAAGGGATATGAGTAGCGCACACAGAACAAATTACAAAACTACTTGGCAAGCAACTGGCACAAGATTATTGGGAAGGACACCATCTTACACTGCAGTCTTTACTTACAGTACTTACACTAAACTAAGCTTTACAACTGACTGGCTATTTTCGTTTGCAAACAGGTTCCAACACTCTTCTGAAAAGTGAAATGGCACTGGTCTGTCAATGATCGGTTTGACAAATGCAGTCGACGAAGATTTGCGCAAAACAGCACCAAATGACTTGCCATTCCAGGCAGGGGCGCCCATGGCGGGGATGCTCACCGTCAATCCCTTGCCTTTCGCCTTGTTGACATCGCTCTCATTGACATTTGTGTGAACCCAAAATGCTGCAGGGACAGAGGAGTTCCGGGCACCGTCAGCAGAACAGCTCCCTTTACTTATTGATTGCCTTGTTCAAATACAATTTGAGTCCTGTAATTACAACTGGTGAGAAGCCATCAAACACAGCCCGCGCACCTGTGAGGCACTGTTGGGCACCACATTCAATTGTGGATGCAGATTGGTGCTGCTGTTCAGGATGATGTGCCATTCCTATTCAGCGTCAAATGACATTCGCAGCTCATTGTTCCCGTATTTATTTATCTATTTTTGCCGCTTGCCTTGATTTGCATGCCTTTTTGGCAGGAAATGAAGGCCAGTTGTCTGCCATGCATTAGTCTGGGCTTTCACGGCCATGGAGACTGCGATTTGGACACTGTGTGCACGGCCATGCACACGACATCGGCTTGCAGGTGCGTCGCCTTGCAAGGGCCACCTCTTATCACATTGCAGAACTCCAACCCTTTGACATGTGCAGCAGTGAGCCCCGAAGGTCATGCAGGCCTAAGGGCGAGGCGAGAATAGGGAGGCTCTGACAGCATGGAGAGCGCGTTTCTTTCATTGCTGCAAGCGCGCAATGTAGTAAACTCAGGCACGGAGAATGTAAATTTGGGCCATGCAATGGAAAGTTTTCGCTTCCCAGCGAGGGGACTTGCCTCAGGGACGTTCGGCGCCGAAGAGAACACGCCTTGCAAAAGGGTGTCGTCTACACAGGTTCTAAATTTTTAGAGCCTGGCATCCGCACCATGGGGGCCCATTGCCCTGGAATCGGGCATTGTGGCCCAACGGACTGCTAGGGGAGCTCCTGAGCCACCAATCTGGACCCCGAATCGATTGCCACTCCTGTGGGAAATTGCCTCGAGCGGCGACAACAGCGCCGAGCCGGACAGCGCGCAACTCAAGGGTCGGGACAGGACGACCTGGGATGTCCCCACGCAGAGATCCCGCAGACGACGGCTGCCGCGACCTCCACCGCAACCCGACAGGCGCATGTCCGGCCGCGGCGGACAGCTCGCAAACGACCCGAACGGCTCCCGGGCAGGCGACCGCTCTTCGCGTCCGCATTCGAGGCTACGGGCGCGCCAAAAGCTGTCCAGGGCCCCGCGACAGCATTCACCAAGCAGAGCTGCCGCGAAGTCTACCGTGCCCATTGCTGCCCGCCCACCGATCACGCTACAGTCCGTGACCGCACACCCCTTCTCCCCTCTCTCGCCCCGGATCTCTTCTCCTTGCACCGGAGGCTCTACACAAATCTTTTCGCAGCATGGAAACCACCATCGCACAAGCCTGCCAAGCAGGGGCCGCTCTTTCCGAGACCAGTTTTCTTTTTGAAGTCCAACCAAAAATCTTTGCCCCCACCCTGTCCGTGTGGCGCCCAACTAGGCATCATCCCCCGCTAGCCAATCCCCCTTTCTGCCCACCCACCTGGGTCGTAGCTCCTCAGCTCCACGCCATCGCCCGCCGACACGTTGGAGAACGCCGGGCAGTCCAGCCCGTTGCAGAACGGCGGGGGGTCCGCCCGTACTCCACCCCCCCACAGCGCCATCCCCGCTACAATCGCACACAGCACCGTGGCCATCCGATGCATCCCCCAAAAGACACGGCAGGCGCCCGTCGGCGAGGTTCCTCCCGTCAGAAAAATTCAAAGGCGGAAGTGGAGGGAGCGAGGAGGGGCGCTGAGAGGCCTGGAGAGGTTTGCAGAGGTTGGAGGAGGCTGGGGTGGGAAGGGGGAGGGCGGTACTGGCCGCGCTGCAGCACACACTGTTTTTGGCGCGAGGATTGAGGGGGGGGGGGGGGATTGGCCGGGCAACAGGCTGGCGTGGGCAGCCAGTACCTAGGTTGCGTGGCGTGGGTGCGCGTCCCTGCCCATGTGGCCCCGGAGTGGTCTGCCTCCACACGCCAGGTGGCAGCTCCTGTATGCTCCTCCCAATAGATGCATTTATGTCAGGCTGGAAGAGCTGGGGAAAAAAGGGCCAAATAACACGTATTCAAACGTGTACAAAGTTTACGGGCTTGGGCTATTTCCATGTCTTCAGCATACAAAACACTGACGAAATGCATATATATGTGTTCGGTCCTTTTTTGGCTTGTGAAGGAAGTGGGAGGATTCTGGACGATTCCAAGGGGATACTCCAGTTTACGTGGGGACCTTAGGTGGTTTGCACCTGGCGATTCAATTGCCATGCGCCCCTTCCCCCCAAAATGATGATGAGCCACAATTTGCTGGCTCATCAACTTTTCTCTTTTGGCGGGGAGGGGAGAGGGCCCTTTCTCAACCCTGGGGTTGAGCCTGGATATCGTCAAGCACTTAGGTAAAAAAATCAAAATGGCATGAATCATAAGGACGATAGGATCAAAAGCAAAAGGAAGGACAAGAGTCTTGCGGCAAGAAAATTTCTTGACAGCTTGGGCGAAAACAAGACGTGCTGCCTTGAATCATGGTCCTTGAGGCACATTGCAGACTGAAGAGAGTGTTGGAAATTTGCAGCGCATCTACTTTGAAGCAATAGAATAGCACATTATTTTGCAGGAATATTTTGAGTTTTACAAGCCTTCAACTGATGCGTCAACGGGTTATGTTCTTTTCATGAGTTCAACTATGCTACATAAGCAGGCAATCCGTTACTTAGAAAAACAGAAGCCACATGATATCCACATTTCTTCCCTCCCATTCTTTTGTAAAGGTTTTTCTCCCCCAAAAATGTTTAGCGTAGAAGAGTTTGGGCGGCGTTGGTGTAGTGCGACAAAGGTGCGCGGCACACAGCTTCCAAGGATGATCAAGAGCAACGAACTTTCTTTTCCCATTGTTGTTCTAATTTCTGCTGCAACAGAAATCTGGCAGATGCGAATGCTGGCAATGGGACCAAACCCATCTCCACTCGGGACGCCACATCGTGTGATCTGGCATGGGATGGCGCAGTCTAGCCTTGAAAGGCTCAAAATGTAGTCCACAACCCGCTGGTGCAGGGATTGCCCAACGGCTAGGTGCCAAATGACAACGTTTTGAAGTTCAGCGCGGCAATGCCACCCTGGGTTCGTCCATACTGATCAACTGACAATTCTGACGTTTCATTGGCGTCATAAATTTCTCTCTTTCCACGGAATGGCGCGCATTGTTTTGATATTGGGTGATTGACATAGGTCTCCAATAGTTTATTTTTTGTTTGCGTTTTGATCTGGAAACTGCCCAAGGGCCACAATGCACCCCGCCCAAACCTCACTCCAAAACCCACCCAGCCACCCACAGCACCCAGCGCTGGCTGGCTAGGCTAACCCCAGCACACCTTACTCTCATGCGCATATCCACCTTCTGGTATCTTGATGGCCATCGACTACAGGTAGGGGGGCATACAACTTTATTGCGTGATCGATTGGCTCAGGAATCGGGATTTATTCACTGGTGTTGGCCCCTGCCCCTTGAAATGGTGCCAGGGAGACGGAACAACAACAACTATCTTTGTTCCAACCATGTCCTTGCAACTATCTTTAATCCAAAAACATCCTTTCTATAGAAAGAATAACCTTCCTACTGTGCTTGTGACATGGGCATGGCTCGAGTCTCTCACTAACCATGGGCCCAATCAAACTCAGTGTTTGCTAGGACCGTGTAATGTGCGGCGCAATTGGCGATCATTGTGTTACTGCCAGTTCGTAAGCGGCACTATGCCTCGATATTGAAACTTAATCAAATAGTCAATTATTATTTAAATCATTCTCTACATTTATTCCTTTTCATGGGGCTATTACAATCATCAGTGGCACAGGGAATCCTTATGATCACTGCACACGTGTCGGCCTATCTGGCAATGGGCTGTGATGATCCTTCTGGCAGGTCCCATCGACCATGGACTAGCAAGCACCTGTGGGGGAACCACCCTACTCATGCGGTGCGCACACTGGATCATTTGACATATACATTTTCAAGAGTAATGATTATTCTCCTGGCGGTCACGCAGTAAATGAAGCCAACGAGCCACTTGGGCGATCATCAACTGGACGGCCAATGGTTGACAATAATCGAGTGAATAGCAAGTACATGTCTAGAGCAAGTCGCGGCAATGCACATTTCCGCTTCGTCGACAATGATCCGGTGGTCTCCACCAAAACACCATGCCACCAGAACAACACTGAACTCCCACAAAACTTTGCCCGCCGCCAACGGCAGCCGGCCCCGTTCTCGATGCGCGCCTAAGGACCTCTCGCCACACTGGACGTATCCTCCTAGCGTGCAGGCCGACGGGCCCCCGATCAATCAAATCACAGCGCACATCAAGGCAAGGAGGCAGAGCCCCGGTCGCTGTTGCGCCCGAGGCAAGAGTTCCGAATACATAAACCCACCAGTGTCGGAACAGATGGAGCCACCGAGGAAAGCAGCGTAGAAGTTGTAGAACCACGGGGTGTTCACCCCCGACCCCCGAGCGGGCCAGTCTTGCGGGCCTCCACAATGGATGATACCGCCCCGCGTGTCCAACAGATTTGCAAACGGGCAGGAGCCCAAATTTGGGCTTGGCGTTTAAACGGCCATCGCGTGGCGGCCCTCCTCGTCTTCGGAGCGCCGGAGTGGCGCAATGGCATAAGGGCGGCGTAAGATCGTCTTGGAGGGGGACGGAAACTGTGCCATCGACAGTGCGCGTTGCGAAGTTCGCGCACAGAGCGGATTGAGCGAGTGTTTGTTCGTGGGGCGGAGGGAGAATGAGGAAGGTTATTCGCTGTGGTCACCGCTGCGAAGGAGGTGGGCGGAGCAGAATGAAAATGGACGCAGACACTGGCAGATTGAAATTTTACGTCGATGAGGCCGTAACTTGCGAAATGCCGTACTTTGTACGCGTTTCCGGGCTCGATATAAACATTGTGGAATCCACATTGTGGAAGAATGTGTGCATTTTACCGTATCTTGTTCTCACGCAGACCCGTACTTAGCAAGCTTGGAAATTCCCACCGCATCTCGACGTATACGCCCCAGCGGTCACGCAATTTTGGTGTCAGACTCGCGGTGGACATTCCATGCTTCAAAGGAAAAAGAGGCTCTGCAATGCCGTTGCCAACAAAGCGGCCAAAGAAATGGAAACAATTCACCTTCGCCTTTCTGTCGGGGCAATGTCTCAATCGTCGCGTCAGCGTTTCGACGTGTCAAAGGTATTTCTCTTTTTGCTATCCTTCACTCACGTAACAAGAGGATTTTCAACGAACCGATCGATCGACGAAAACGACATGTATTTCTTTCTGTAAACAGCAAAGTAAGAAGAACAGAACAAGTGTGCGCTACGACCCCAGCCTCGACGGCCTCAACGAGCAGTCCTCCCATGCCCATGCATGAACCTGATGCACCCTCAGGTAATTTACTTGTAACTCTGCTCCTTAGTTACAGACTGTAGAAAATAGCACCATTGCTTCTTATTCTGACAGGTCCTGGCACGACAAGCTACCCCAATTCAAGAGCCCACTCAGCGCAGCTGTAGGCAGTGTTGTGTACGTCATTCTACCCATAATTCGTTAAGCCCACGTTCATTGTTGTCTGTGTGGCAGCATTGTGCCGATCTGTGTGCAAAGACACCTGCCCACCGGCTTGCACACCCCAATCTGCCTGCCGAACAGCCAGCTGCGTCCGCTGGGCACCACTTCACCTCTGACCCAAAGAATTATCAATCCATCAAGCATACGAGCACGTGGCAAGGCCAGACAAGCGAATGTGAGTGGCTAATGACTTGTCCCTTGCTTCGTAGACGAGTAAATGTGGCCAATGACCTGTCTGTTGCCTTACAACAAGTCAGCACCTGGCCTGAAGGCATCAGCGACTCTGATGCAGTTGTTCTAGGCAAACCCAATCCCCCCAAACGAAATACACAAATCGTCCCACAGTCCAATGGTGCCCCAACAGGCAAGGGGCATCCTGCACAAGGGGTACCAAAACCAGGCAGCTCCACCTATGGCCACCTGCACAGTGTGCATTTCGCACTGCCCCATGTCCAAATAGTGGTACGATGCCAATCCCCCAAGTCCATCACATATTTGTGTAGTGGCCCAACAGTGTGTCCTTCCACCCTTTCCACCTCACCACACCCTGTGCCGCATCCCGGGCGACAGGGCACGTCTAGTTCAGCTCAAACCACATTTATTCCAAAGAAGATATGCACATCTCACCATTCCCCTCAACCAGCACCCCTCTTGCTTATCTTGTCCCCTTTCTGCTGATCGCCTCCTTTTCCACCTGTCAGAAACGCATATGTTTAATGCACAAAACCTCTGGCAACACCACAGGGGTCCATGTGCCCCACCCACGATCTGCCCTCAAACGGTTTCCTGCCTGACGACCCATCGCCCATGGTCTCCTGTGTCCTTTAGTCCCTTTCTAAGCGCGCCCTCTGTTCCCTAGACGGAAACAGCTTCTTCTTGGCTGCCAGCAGGTCACCCTTGTCCAATCCATATCTTGCGGCCAGGCCCACAAAGGGGCCCGTGAGCACGGAAGGCACAAGGGCCATGAAGGGGGTTGCAAGGAAGCCCACGATGGGTATGCTCCTCACAGCCTTCTTGGCCAGGTGCACCGCAAAGATGCCCACCACCATGCTCCAGCCATATTTGTGGAGGAACCCTTGGGCTGACTTCAGGGCCGCGAGCTTCACCACCTGGGGCAGCAGTCGCCAAGGATGTGCTATTGTGAGCATCGAGATGATGCTTCAGTGCATTCCACAGGCAAAAAAATTCCGGGTCTGCTGTTCAGAGCGTTGTGAGAGTAACTGAGACTAGTGCTTCCACACTAAGATTTAAAGGCAATGGATAGAAGTGGATCATCTCAGACAGTTCACCCTGGTAATGCCTCACTATAATCAACATATCAAGATATTGGTATTGGTACTGGTACTGGTATTGGTATTGGTACTGGTATTGGTATTGGTACTGGTTTTATTCGAGTAGCTGAGTGCAATCTGGCCTTCTCTTTTCTGGCTCAGTCTGACCATTCTGTACGGCTCGTATTGCTTGGTATGGCACTGGATTTCATTGGTTTTGGTTTTTGGGCTTGAGACCATCTTTTCGTGGATTGCATCGGGGTGATCGGTTTACACGAGAAGTGGCTAAATTCAGAAGGGATTGACACATCGAATCTGCGCAATCTGGTTTGGAAACACTGCGGCCATTTGGGAGCTTTGCTGAGCTCAGTGAGTGCCCACATTTGCGTAAAAGAAGTGAACGAAACATAGCCCATCACTTTGATTCTTGGCTTGCAGACATTTTCTCTTGTTTCGTGGGGGAGTTTCCTGGGGTTCGGTGGCAGCTGTGGCCGCCGTTAGAGGCGTGTTTTCGGATATCGAATTGGGCCTGGACGTGCCCCTCGCACACTGGATGGTACGCTACATTGATCGATGCCGTGACGTCATGTCGATGCATCCATGTAAGGAACAAACAAACAAACAAACATATCAAGATGCTAATGCTATGAAGCAAACAAGAGTGTAGCACACATGTACAGAGAAAGGAAAAACACAAGGTTTTACCACAGAACTGGACAGTGCTAAACGGCCAATAGTATCCCAGTGCTCAATCCAGATTGGGGTGGTGAGCCCATTCTGAACAAATGAGACAGGCCTGACAGCAACATGAAGCCACTCACCCTCAGTAGCGTCACTGTCACAATCCACGCACGAATAACACTTCCAAGGCATGTACGGATGCTAACAGAACTTGTGATCGCACAGTGACAAAATGTGAGCACAATGCAGCTGCAGGCAGGAATACTGTTCTTGGCACAATAATGCAACCTTTATGGTCAGGCATGACAGCTTGAACAGGCCCCTGGAACAACAGCTGGCGCTAAAATCCCCAGGCACGGCAGCTTGGTGTGCATGCAGGGTTCATCCAAATGCCACCCCATTTCTTCCTCAAGCGAACAGCAAAGTCCTCAACTCAAGACTGGAAACAGCCAATCGACTGAGCGCAAGCTGCCAACCCTGGATCTGTTGCTGTCTTTTCGAGGAAACATCACTGACAGCAGAACGGTCAGCAGGGCCGCGGCGAAATCGCCCGCTAGACTGAGTGGCCAAAACCTTTTCCTGCTCGATATGGACGTCGTGACCCACTTGAGCCCCAGAGGCTGTTGACGAGGCACGGCGGGCCGAATCGACGCCCCTCGCTTCACCCCGCACGCAGTTTGAATCACGGCGCTGGACGGACGCCAATCTGTGCGAAATGCTCATCGCTAGAGGGATTCACGGGCGACTGCCGCCCATTTCCAGCCGAATCGAGTGTCGCGTCTCGGTGTGCGATGTGCGACGACGCAGACGAACGACCGGAGCAGCGCTCAGGCGCGGCTACACGACCATTCTGTTCGGGAAGAAAAAGGGCTTGCGCTTTGCGGTAACTTACGACTGGGGATGGCATTCAGCCTGTCGCAGAGTGGGAGAGTCACACTCTGCAGCTCGCCCCGCCCCTCGACCCCGCCGCTGCGAGCATTTGACACGCGGTCGCGACGATGTGGTCTGCAATCTGCGGCCGAGTCGATGGCAACCCCTCCTCACCCTCGATGCCCCCCATCAATCCAGCGACCCGAGTCGGAAGCCCTGGCTGGAGGCCAAGGCACTGGCGGCGGATGGGCCCCACCCGCCCTCCCACGATTCCCCGGATCCCTGCGCGCAGTCACGCCCGCCGCCAATCGGCGACCATCCCGGCGAATCAGTCCGCACAACGCCCACGGACCGCCGGAAGCCTCCAGCTGTAACCGCGCCCAACCAAGCCCCCGGCCGCCGCCCACGGCACCGCCAACCGGCACGAGTTCCCATCCCCGACAACTATCGACCCCAGCCACCAACTTCAACCCGCCCTCTCGCCGCCAACACCCTCCCGGCCGTCCCTCCCACCCTCCCACGTTTTGTTGCTCTTTGTGGTGTCTGTGTTGTGTGCTCCTCTTGTTGCCCTGGAGCCTCCACATCATCTTCTCGCACCACGGACAAGAGTCTCACGCCCACTTGCCCTCTGTATGACCTGCTTCTCTCTCTTTGCCGTGCCCCATCCAAATCCAATCCCGCCCCAGGCTATCTCCGATTCCCTCTTCCCCCCCCCCCTCGGCACACTCCCTTCCCCTCCCCTTCCAGTCACCCCACACACGCACACACTCCACCGGCCACCAGATGCCCACTCCGCAATTCTTCCACCCCTGTCTCTAAACAGAGACCTCCACGAATTGCGGTCCAAGGCGGCCGGCACCCGGACCAGCAGGCAACAAGCCGATCGACCGCCGCGCCGTTACGCACGCAAAAGAACGGCTTGGAAAGAGCCTCGCAAGCACCTGCTAAGGAGGATGCGACCTGTTTCTCCTCTCTGTCACAAATCTCTCCCCATCTCCCATGCCGATAACGGAGGCCGCTCGAGTGCCACGGCCCAAGGCCGCGGACCACAGGGCCAGCAGGAAACAAGGCCGATCGATCGCCGCGCGGCTGCGCACGCGAAATCGTGACGCCGCCCCACCTGCAGGTAGAAGTCCTCGAACTCCTCGAAGTCCAGGTCGCAGTCGCCCTCGTCGTCCGCGTACAGCATGAACTCCATCACCTCCTCCGCGCTGGGCTTGGTCACCGTGATGCCGAAGTCATCCAGGTCGCGCTGGATCTCGTCGAAGATGAGCGACACTTGGGAGGCCGCCTCGCGCTGGCTCACCCGCCCGCTGCCGTCCTTGTCGGCCATCTCGAAGAATTTTCTCGTCGCGCGGCCGAAGCCCGGCCGGCTCTGGATCATCTCGTCCACCTTGTCCTCCACCTTCTCCATGAGGGCCTCCATCTTGGGACCGCGTGTGTTTGTGTGTGGTGTGGGGTGGGTAGGTAGGGGGTGGTTTTGGTGGGAGGGGGCGGGCTGGTTGTCTGCGGGGCAGCAAGTGGCGGGAGGGGGTGGGGAGGAGGGCTTAAGGGGAGGTGCGCAGACCGGCGCCGGATGACGTTTGGTCGTCTCTGGCGGCCAGTTTGATTGGATACGTTGCCAGTAATGCTCGCCCAGGGTCTTTGCAACCCTGTTGAGTCCCTGTTGAGGGTGGTGTGCCCTGAACACCGAACACGAGCTGTCGAGAATGGTTCAGGAAAAGCGCTGGGCGAGTGTGTGCGCCCCACCCTTCCTTGTCCGATGTTTCACCACTGTTGCCCTATGTACAAAGGGGGGTAGCTGCTTTCTGTCCCAGTTATTCCATGTGTTGCCCCACATTTAACACACGTGCACACTGAAATAGCTACAAAATTTTGTAATGACAACAACGGTTAGCTCGAGTACTCATTGTAACTGCTCTCAAGCAGTTGTAGCCCCAAACGACATGCTTGCTAGCAAGAACAACAGGAGGTTCGGACCAACCGATTTGCAATCAGTTCGTCATTAACATCCCGTTGTTCGAGTCATCTTGTGATGGCTGCTGATATACACTACAGCTGCCTGCTTGGTGCTTGGTGCATTTCATCGCACCATGACCAGACCTCTTACCGTAAGGGATGGCCTGAGTATGCTGCCAGGCAGTGGTATTAGAGGTAGTGCCAGTGCACTCAGAATTGATGAGAAAGAATAATATTATGCACAGTGTTAACACTATCCGCGGCGCTAAACACTGTCCGCGACACTGACCGCGACGCCCAAGGGCAGTGTCCCCCAGACTGTCCTCGCCACCAAACGCTGTCCGAGATATTGTCCGCGACACTAACCGCGACGGCAAGCACAATGTCCCCATCACTGTCCCCGTCACGATCGGCGACACCAAACGCTGTCCCAGAAACTGTCCGCGGTACTGACCGCGACACCAACCAGAACGTGTCCGTCACTGTCCCCGTCACTGCCCGCGACGCTCCCACGACCCACAATGTGAAGCGTCCGCGACACTATCGCGGATGGCGTAAAATGTGTCGCGGTCAGTATCCGCTGGGGACACTCATTTTGATTGTCCGCGACACTCATTGGAGTGTCCGCGACGCGTCCGGAAAACACCCCTGGACACTAGTGAATGTGTGCGGGACACCAAGGCAAGGTGGAATTTCCCGATCAGCTGCTGCAATTGTTGAAATATTTTAAAGCCACTGAAGAAGATGTGGAGGCAGAGTTACACAAATAGTTGGGGAATCGATGCGAATTTTTCAAAACGGGTTTTAAAGCGGGTTATGATTTTGGGGGTAGGGCGGGGGTAGGTGGGGTGGGGGGGAAGGGGAGGGCATATAGGGACAACGGCACACAACATGGACCTCCAAGGGAGGCGGTCATTAGATGTGAGCGTTTGGCCACACCCTATTATATTGGTACCCATGGGCAAAACATTGGCTCAGAAGTCATGTTGACGTCCTCTTCCAAATACCCAGGTCATTCAGTGCACCTCAACTTGAGTACAGAAGTGGGTTCCATTAGTCAATTTCAATGGTCACCGTAGGTTGCAGCTCGATTGCAAGCTGTTTCCTTCTGGGCATCTGATTGAAGACGGCGATATGTAGATTTCGAGTTAGTATGGGACCTGACCTTCTGCATGCGTTAAGAAAGGCGTTTCTGTTTTATGTTTCCGGACAAGCCATATGACCGAGTTGAAGCGCTGCAGTTTGACCCCCGAACGAAGGTCCTGGAGGGCATGTTGCTCAACCCAGAAAATGGAAATAGCCTGGTGAAAGTCCAAAATGCGGCGTTGCATTGGAGGGACTGGCCGCTGACGTGGATCTTTGCACACGTTGGTGTCCAAGCGCGACCCCGTGTGTTCAGGGCGCTGCTATCCGTTTGGTGTTCAACTGAAACCCCAGCCACACCAACAAGGCGGGAGTCGTGTATTGTTCGGTGTCCGAATTGGTGCCAGTTTGAGGGTTTCCTGCCGGACATTTTCTGAATTACTTCAGACAATGTTATTTCCAGAGGAAAAGCGCTTAAAAGTGCCATAATATTAGGGAACTTTTCAGCGTTTTCCTGCCAGGCAAATTGTCGGAGTTAGGGTCCCTTGTGGCGCTTGGAGCTCGACACGCCATGGATGGCCCGAGCCTATCCTTTGAAACCCAAGTCGAGCAAAGCCCGGCAAATCGGACAAAAAAAAGAAAAAAAGACTGGTGCAGTGCTGGCTTGATCGGGGGATGCTGCAGGTCGCACTTCTGTCCCGTCATCCACCATCCATAACATGTGTAAAAAAATCGCGTACAACACACAACCACATATAAAAACAACATACATATGCGCCTTGAATTTGAACCTGGGATCATTTGGGCTGTGGGATCTAGCCTGGGATCACCTGGGCGCTCAACTCCTTTGATTACATTTGTCGCATAAGCATGGCAAAACACTGCCCTTGAACCTTAAAGGCGGTGTTGGGCACGGAGTCCGTATCAGTGTTGCTGGTCTTTTCGCACACCTGGGCGCGAAATCATTAAATTGTATATCAACAGTAACCACACAGAAAATGAACAAAGTATAGGTACTGGCTTCAGTTGGGCTCGATTGGGCTCACCCGGGCGCCGGGCTGGAAATTGCGAAACCAACGATAAAAGCTGGTTCGCTTTGGCTCAGTTGGGCTCTGGCCCAGAAATTGGCAAATAAACAGAAATTGGGCTCGCTTGGCCAGCCGACTCCAAGCCAGCCTAACAGAGGCCAAGCGAGCCCAGGTGAGGCCAGACACATGCCGAAGCCGCTAGTACTTTAGCGAGGTCTTTGTATATTGCGCCCACGTTCCACTGTGTTTCGGGTGATCCTTCCTATTGAAATTTTGTTACCGAACCCGAAACTGAGCTCGCGGCGGAGCCAATATTAGCACAAGGTCGGTTACAGGACCCGCACGGACTCACGAACCAGCAGCGGGAAGCCCTCCTGCATGCCACGGCGGGCGGGTGCGTGCTCGCACAGCTGCAGCCCGCCGTCACCGCCCGCAGCTGCGCACAAGGTGGGCCGACTTTGTTGGGTTACCCCTGGTAGCGCGCACCCGCGGCAGTGCAACGCGCCGGCCTGGCACATGGCCGCGAGATTGAGAATCTGGACAGGCTGGTTTCGGTCAGTGCTCTTTGATGCTGTGATGAAAATCGAAGAGTCCATCCAACAGAGACCGGGGTCTGCAGCTCAACATAACTTCGTGTCTGCCAGCCGCGCACGCGCCCCCTCTGAAAGTCTTACCCTGGTTGGTGGTTCAATTCGGTCCCCGACCTGTAGCATGAATCAGGCGGATGTGGGGCCTCACTTGCGGTTCGGCACGCGCATCTTCGGCCATTGCGGTGAAATGATGCTGTGGCTTTCTTGGAACGTTGGGGATCTTTGCGCATACGAGCATTTCCTTTGCCCAGAAGCTATAGCTATATTGGTCTGCAGCTGTGGCGTCACTTCCCCGCAGCTTTGAGCATTTTTCGCAGACGCCGTTGAGACTGTGCCTGATTTGCGTCTGAGCGCAGTTTCCCTGCTGGGCCTGGACAGATTTGTGTGTGCCCTGGGCCGCCCTTTTTGTGCTGGGGTGGGCAGCCTTCAGTAATTTTCTGCACGTGATCGGCCAGGTGCTTTTGAACTTTGTGTCCAACATCATGCTGCTTTATCTTGGTGGCGCAGCTAACAGGCCGTAGCAGGCTTTGAATGAGAGAGAGTCGGGCAAATTTTCTTATGCCTTAGATAATTTTCTTTGTTTATCAAGCTGTACACACAAGATGATCGATAGTTAATCTGCTTGCTCAGGCTATGCTAGACAAACGTGGCAAAGTAATGCCCATGCAACTCTGCAGGCGATGTTTGGTGTGTGTACCTTGGCAGTGTTCTTGCAAACTGCCTTTGCTCACAGTTTTTACTCTCCATGCCTGCAAAGGTGCAAACTGCAGTCAAGAAACGCTGGCAGGGTGGAAATCTCACCTGATGGCTTGTTTGGGTTCGTGGTGCAGGCATGAGGCGAAGATGGATGAATGGGCAAGAAGCTCAAGACGTGGGCCCCAGCCAGTGAGTGCACTTCTGATGCCTCTGAACTTGAACACAAGCCATGTCACAGGATTTTTGCTTCTTGGCCCTGACCAATTTTAGTGGCGACCTTGTCACGCACTTTGCGCAAGCTGGCACCTCACGAAACAGCACAAGGCAGTCCAATCTCCAAAGTTCTTTTGGTGTAGTGTGCAATTTCTTTGTCTTAACAAGGTGCCAACAAGCCCATCAATTTTGCAAGCTGCTCCAAATGCACTTGAACTCTTGGGTGTGAGGTATGGACAGGCTGTCAATCCAAGGTTGCCTGGTATGCTTGGTAGTTTTGCTTACATACTCCACCTCAGTTGATGCTTGAATCCAGGCCATCGTGACATTGTGGACCCCAATCGACAAACTGCCACTAGCAGCCAACTCTTGCTTGTGGTCCACAATCCATCGCAGCCCAGAGTGTCTTTATTCTTGAAAGAGAAACCGCATCACCCGTAGCCACTTTTCTGAGGTCCACAACTTGAAAATTCCGAACAATGCTGATTCTTCAATTCTGGGCCACTGGCAACTTCCTGAATCTTCCACCGCCCAATGGAGGTGGGAGCCATCACCTACTCTTGCACCATTTCAAAAGGCTTGTAGGCCTCCTGCGATTGTCCTCACATTGGTGATGAAGTTCTAAAACCCTTGTACAAAAAATTGGCTTGAATGCATCTGCAATTTGGCTTGTTCAACACGATGCAGCCACTAAGCCACAAGGGCTATCACAATGAGGGCCTCCAATACATGTTTTCTATTGCCGTGCTTCTTCATAGGGTCTCACCAAGCTGTTGTCCAAACAACAGGGGCAGTATTGCATGGGTGGGCTGTTTTTGCTGCCACAAAGGCATGCTTCTTCCTTT